AAAAATATATACTGATAGACCGGAGAGCTACAGTGCCACCCATTGAAAAAACTGTATATTTATTGCGCACAAAAAAGTGCGCTCGATTCTTGATTAATTTTTCCAAATTCTTACCTCAATTGCAAAAAATGGAAGATTTCAAAAAATTACTCTCTCCTCTATCAAGTTCTCTCGTAGTTGACATCTGAACGAAGCACATTGGACTGAATTATCTTTGAAACCAAAATGGCAGTATAAATAAGCGAAACGTGCGATGATTGCAATATCAGGGCCAGGAGGACTATTAACAACAATTATGAGGAATGTTTTGTTGTGGAAAGAGTCAAAAAATATTTAGGAACACACGGTTAGTAATATTTTGTATAGATTACAGCTTTAAAAAAATGGAGAAATAAATACATTTTTTTGTGCGCAATAAATATACAGTTTTTTCAATGGGTGGCTCTGTAGCTCTCCGGTCTATCAATAATTTTTTTTCGGAGAGCTACAGATCTGCAGCTAACCCCTTACCATGTCTACCCCTAAGGGAGGGATCATTAAAAATTGTATAAATAAACAATTTAAAAAATCTGTGAGACGTTTTTTCATGAATGGATATGTCAAAGATGTTGGGTAGAAAACACAAAAAGCCAACCACAAACCATGGTAAAAACTATAAAACTTTATAATGTTCTATTTTAAGGACTCAGACATTTACGTGAATGCCAGGACATTTCTGAGAAAGAACAGTATAATACTTCTGCAAAAAATGGAAGGAATTATTTTTTTTATTGCTCCAGTACATATATGTGTGCCCTTATAGCCAAGATTGGGGAGCCTTGGAATCTATAAGTTAATTTAACATAGTAGTTTTTTACATGAACATTATTGTAACATGAGGAATTAAGATTCACAAAAAGTACAGAGCTTTGTCTGTTTATTGACTATATATAAATTACTCTGTTCATCCAAAATTGAATCTGAAAAAAATGAATCGCATACTTTTTTTGAAGGCCTCAGCTTTAATAAAGTGTGCGATTTTTGTTTGTTCATTTTCGGTGAACAAAATTGTTTATACATATACAAAAATATATGCAAAACATATACAAATGAATCTAGTTTTCAATAGAGCTAGTAAATTTTACACAATTCTTCATGACATTTTGAGCAGCGGCAAACATGTCACTGTTAAACTGTATAACATCTATGATGTTCAAAACTAGTGGCAAAGGATGAACATATTATTTAGTCCAAATATAACTAAACTGATCCAAGTTTTCACAACGATTCACCAAGAGAAATTTTAATAATCCACACTCCTTCAACTTGTCCAAACCGCAGCATTCAAAATTTGTGACATTAGTAAAACTGTTGTCAAGAAATAAATTTTGTCGCTGATTATATTTTGTCAAACACTTGTAACTGTCGATGTCCGGTATATTTGGTTAGTGAATGTCAACTTTGAGTTGTCATTAAGAGCAGGAAGACAGAAATGAAAATGACAAGATTTTTAACGCAGGAAATGTTTTAACACCGATACTTATAAATCTGTGCAAATTACGTAATGTTCTTGGCGTAATTTTCATAAAATAATCATGTTTCTATTTTATTTTGATAAAAAATTAAGGAACGGTAGCTCCCATTCGATTGTAAAATCTTTAAAAGAAATGGGAATTTTTTCTTGGTGTTGTTTCTTCAGGAAATATCACATTTATTGTTGAAAATAAAAAGTTCTTGCATTTTGCAAATCCATTTTAAATATTGATGAATTGCAAATAAACCAGACGTTCACAGTGTATGTGTTTAAATACGATCGAAATGCATGCCAAAATTTTGATTGTACATGGACTACAGGATGGATATACTAGTTAGCTTATTTATCATCAATACGGGGTATATTAACTAATACTTTTATGCAAAAAATTAAAATTCATTCTAAAGACAAAATATGCAGCCGTCAACTTCATAACCTCAATATGGGGGGGGGGGCAATATTAGGTACATGCAATCAAGGTTTTACAATGAAGTGCCTAAGAAAACCTTATAAAAAATTCTTTTCAAGAACATCCAAGTTATGATTGGCCATACCCACAGATATACAAGAATCAAAGTCCAAAACAAGTGTACATCAGAGTGAGAAGGGACCTCAAATTTGTCAAATCCCCCCCCCCTCGGTGATAGGTTCGGACCACTTATTAGTCCCCTACCAGTGAAAATGGAGGGGACTATAGGTTTCCTTCGCGTTTGTCCGTTCGTCTGTTCGTCTAGCTGTTTATAACTGATTGCCTGTTTGTCCGTTCAGCTATCCCCCTGTCCGTCTGTCAGTCTGTCCCAACTGTGGAATTCAAAATTTTCAATGGGAACCACATTACACTTGCCAGTAAGGGGGCTGGTATTGCTAATACAATACTCTCGGAGTGCTTGTATATTTAAACTTTTCAATATTAAACCGGTTTCTGTTTTTCCCTGGCCAAAGGGCTCATGTTGAGCAATATGATTCTCTTGTTTAGTATTATATTTTCCATGACATATGATGAGGGAAATTCCCTATTAGCATTTTTTTAAATCGGTGTTTCTATATAAATGTAATAGATCTTCCTTAAGAATACCATTAGCAATTACAATCTCTATATTTATATACCAAATGCAAAAGGTTTCCGCATTGCAATCACAAGTCATCAAAATGTTTAAAATATAACCTTTCGCTGTATATAAGATTTATTTTGACAATAACTGTTTATCCAATGAAGACAGTGATTAAAAAGATTATATTGTCTGCTTTCTAGATTTGTTACCGTAATGCTCTAGACTTTACTGTAATGTCTAAATTTTGTTCAAAGGTAATGTACTGGTTAACGTCCGAAATAATAAACAAGCTATAAATTTCAACCATTTCAAACAAAAAAAATATCGAATCCCCTTGTTAAAATATCAGGTAATTTCACGTTTGTATTGAATCGAATTTCCAAGATCATGATATACATGTATAACTTTTTAATTCATGATTTTTTAGTGATTTACAAAGATTGATATTGTTATGTAATTTACTTACTTTCATTTGCTACGTAGGCCTTGAGGGCATCTGAAGGTATTCAATGAGTTTTGACGGAAGTAGATTTCTTGCTTCCTTTATAAAGTTATACATGTACATCATTTTTTTAAAGGTAGGTGTTTGAGGGCGTTAACAATGTACATTATAACTAGGGATGTCAAATCGGTCCAGTTTTAATACTCGGTTACTCGGACGTTTTTCCGATCGAGTACCCGGGTACTCGGTAAAAGTCGGACGTTTTTCCGATCGAGTACCCGGGTACTCGGTAAAAGTCTAAATAAATATGAACAAGTTAATTGATAACTGTAAAACATTGTAAACCCTTGTAAAAATAAAACCACATGGTCTGATGGGAGGTTTACCTGTAAATGTATTGTAAAAATTATGACCACTTTGTGCCCGACGAAATTTAATCTAACATTTTTTTAAAGTTCAATTTATTTATCAGATAAATGCGAGAAATAAAATCACAAATAGTTCACAGTGGTTTTGTTTCAAAAAAATAATCTGTTCCTTAATTGTAATGTTATTCTGATGCGTTTGAAGTCCAAGTAATAAGTCGTCAGAGCTACATGTACAGTTTTCCTATAACAGAGCGGATTTACGATCTCCGTATACTTTTCGATCCTAGATTTTATAAACTTACAAGATGGTATGGTGTAGTTTGGTGCAACGGTGGACATATTATGATTTTTAAAGCCTTTGCCTTCAACCATTTGCATTAATTGGCATGTAATCAAACGCATCCATATCAACAATCGCACGTGCAATTTCGTCTGTCTCTTTCCCCGAGAATTTACGGCTTCTCATGGACAATTGACAATATTATCTAATTTATTTTAAACATAATAGACCTTTAACGACGTTCAATGAAAACAAATAATTAGAGCAAAACAAAAATAAGGGTAGAAGACAGCCGAAGGTGAGAAAAGCCAGGTAGGTAACAGGTGCTTGGTCACGGTAATTACTGTATAAACACTGCCACAGGAGATAACGGTCATTTAGAGGCGCCGGAAACCCTAATAACTGTATGTACAAGTGCAATGAACATTTTACGTTTTAAAACCGATTTTTTAATGCATTAATAAACAAGCTTAAAAATATTTATCCGAGTAACCGAGTACCATTTTTAGTATTCGATACTCGGACGTTCGATCGAGTACCCGGTTAACCGGGTACTCGTTGACATCCCTAATTATAACCTATGCAAGTAATCTACCTGGCGAACAAAGACACTGACAACATGGTAAAATATCGAGAAATATTTGATAACTTAGTAAATAATCAACCATCGTTGCAATCAAACGTTTTTTTTTATTGTACATGTATGTACAGAGACAGCGAACAAACATGTATTTGGATTAAGTTTCGTACATATAGTGCATCCTTCAATAGTGCTTTGAATATCTAAATAATCAAAGAGCTGAAACGTTGATATAAGATTGCTTTAAATTTTTTTTTTTTTAAATAAAAATGTTCATTCAAATTTGTGAAAAGCAACTTAATCCAAGAAATTCTGTTGTTTTGGAACATGTCTTTACAATAAACAGAAAAATGTAAGTGCAATACAAAGAAAAACTAAAGACGTGCATCAGATGAAAAAAAGTTTTCATTATTATTCCTCTTCAAAAACTTGTCCTACTGAAATCTGCTTTATTGATTAAAAAACAAAAATCTAGTCAGAAAACTGACAATTTTTAAGTGTTTTTATGGATAAGGCAGTGTCTATGCAAATTATTTCCGAGATCGAGAAATTGAATTTGTCAAGAAAAATTATCATTCCATAATAATGAAATAATAATGATTGATAATTATAAACTAAAATAATTTCCATTGTGTGACAATGATTAGAATGCAAATGTTCCAAGTTTACTGATTAGAATTCACAGTGCATGATTTCGAGGGAAGTGAAGCGTTTATTCCAATCAAAATTAACGCCTATGGTTAATGATTATAACGATCTGTATTTCGTTATGAGGAGTATACCTGCTTGGACGTAATAAGTCTCTTTTGTTTAATCTCTTTAGCTTTGGGTAAGTGATTTTAAAAGTGATTTTTTTTAAATATTAAAAATAAAAAGACACGTGATATTTCGCTTCAAAAATCTGGATTTTTCATTTGCTTTTTAAAAATGTATTTATCTTTTATTTTGTTTATTGTATTGGTTTATTGTTGTTGTTTGTTTGTTTGTTTGTTTGTTTTTGGATTGGATTAATATTTTATTTTTTTATCTGTATTCTAAATTTATATTATCATGGAGCGCAGAGGGGGCATATATGTAAAAATTAAAATACAATGAATTCTGTAGCCAATGACATTTTTTTTCAATACACTATATACAGAAAATGTTCATCATAAAATCACTGAAAAATTAAATTTGTGCTTGCCTTTTTCATTAATTAAACATGGCATGTATAATTAAATGTAAGGTTTAAACAATTTATCTAATCAGTAAAACTTGAAATTTTATTTTTAAAACTTGATTCTGAAATAAGATTATTTTGCAAATTTCAAATGTACATTTTTTTGGTTTCAGACAGGATGTTGGTTGAAATTCTTCTCGTAATTCCAGGACTGTTTCATCTTGTTTCAGGTGAGTATTTTCCTGTTAAATTATCAAAATTTAATTAAATATTTCATTTCATTAATGACATGCATCAAACAGGGAAACTTTCTTAATTACGTGCATTGTAATAAAAAATTGCTTAAAAAAACTGGCTTCAGACAAAGAAAAGTTCAACGTTTCAATTCATATGAATGATTTTTAAAATCATATTACATTAGAAATAATATTCTTTCTGATAGATTTTTTTAATAACGAATGACTATAAACGGAACAATCCTAATTGGTATTCTAATGTTGCATTGTCCTTTAAACTCCATGTATCAAGATTTCTATAATTATATATGCTTCATCACGTATGTTATCAAAATAACCACGATCGAGGAAATTAAACATCATTAATTAAAAATAATTAATAAATTTAATTTACTTTAAACAATATCAAGCTTTTGAAGAAAGACTAAAAAATCTTCACAGATATATACACTACCAAACATTGAACATTGTAGGACAAGGCGAAAGGACCTCTGTACAGTCTGCTACACCTGATCCACTGGAAGAGTTATTTGGCATAGGACTTGATAAAAACATTGATCCGTGGTCCAGCAATTTAATCTTCGGAGACATCCAACAAAACGAATTTTCCAACTCCGTAGTCACCACTCCTCCTCCGCTCCCTAGAAACAATAATCAGGAAAGATCCAGACAAGAATCATTACCAGCAGGGTTATCTTTCCTTAATGGAGGCGGATCACTTCCAGGTTTTCCTGTGCTAGACGCAATCCCTCCACCCGTTGACCAGGCTAGCACAGGTGAAAATGGACTATTAAACATTCCACCTATGCCCAATTTTGATCAACTTGGACTGGAAAATGTTCTTGATAAATTTCTCCCCATTGATGGTTCGTTTAGATTACCGCCTCCATCTGATAATCCTATTATTCATTCAAGGGAAAATTCGCCAATACCCTCAATTGGCCAACTTGGAATTGATAGTAATGGACTATTTGGTGACAGTCTATTTTCTCCCAGTGCTGGAAGTTTATCGAACACACCAGCGGCATCAACTAGGTCAACTGAGAATCTTTCAACGGTAACTAACAATAATAACAACAACAACAACAACCAAATGGGTTTGGTTGACATTCCTTCGGAAACCACTTCATTAAATCAAGGTAACTTGGCACAAAATTTGGCTACCTTGCCAACAGAAAAGAGCACAGAACAAAAAGCAATTGATCACAGTATCTGGGATGGCATATTACCTCCTATACCAAAAGACAGAAATCCAGTAGAGGTATTGCCTACCAACAAACCAACTCCAAAACCCAAAATAAGTGACAGGAATCCAAAGAAGAAAAAGGCTTTGTTACCTCTTCTGCCACCAACACTAACAAGAAAATCTACAAAAAACAAAGCCAAACGCATTCCAAGTAACCGTATATTAAATACAATTCCTAGAGTCAATCAATTAATCACAACTACTACACCAAGGCCAATAAACATAAATAACAAAAATCTGTTGGCAAATATTCCTTCAATCGATCAGCTTGGAATTTTTGGAAGCAGTAGCCCAACTAAGAATACAATACTGTCTGATAATGCTCCAAAGACTACAGAACAGCCATCAATAATTGGAGACATTTTTCAATTTCCCGATCAATTTAATGGCGGTAACCGACAATCTTCATCTGTAAACAAAGATAAACCCGAAGATTTAATGCCCACTTCTCAAACACAAGCAGGTGACACATTTTCTACAGACTCGCCGAAGAATGCTACCACCTTAGAAGAAATCTGGAAAAATATATTGATTGAAATACCTGAGTTAGGTAAACTTACTGGAGAGGAAACTCCAAAAGAGAAACCTAAAAGTATCGATGAACTTCTAGGATTTTCGGTACATGACATTGAATCATTCGATGCAAATCAAAGTAATACATTACAACCAGACGAAACAAAACCTGAGACGATTCTTAAAGTTACAACCCCCAAACCTTTTCCTGTCTTTCTACGAACCACAACTCCGACAGCCTATGTACCAACAACCACATTACCTCCCAGAATTTTTGTAACTCCATCTAAAACACCATTACCACCTCTGAAGGTAAATACCCCGATTACCACAACTACACCAGCAACTCCACCACCGCTTCCACCGCTAATTTTGTATACCACAACTTCCACAATTCCGCCACCACCACCACCGACGACGTCAACGCGCAAAACACCGACTACCACGGAAAAGGATATTTATTCACTACCTATCATCCCAACAATACCACCTAAAGTATATGTCCCCCCTACATTGGCTTCACCTGAAAATATGGCCACACCACAGAAACATATAACAATTGATTTTAAAAAGAAGGACCAGAATATTTTTGAATCACCTGATTTTAAAATCAAAGATGAAGGTGCACTGCCTCCTCTATCTGGCGAGTTACTTCCGACGTTAGGTCTTCCTCAATTGACCGATTTTTCTAAAACAGTATCAACAACGAACAATCCACCATTAGAATTGCGTTCTGAATCAGAATCAAGTTTTACAACACCCTTTTCAATAAATAATTTTGTTCCAACAATTCCAGATGAGCAATTCAAACAACCTGATATCATAGACGTGGGAATATTTAATGATAACAAAGAAAGGAGTCCATTCACACAAACTATATCTGAAGAACCTTGGTTTCCGAAAGTAGAAGAAAACAACATCCCTGAACGTTCCACTGGTGAACAAGGAAATCAAAAAGAATCGCAAGTGTTCGACTGGGATGCTTTGTTTCCAAACACCCAGAAATCAGTGTTTGAAAACCTTTCAAATGAAAAAGAAAATCAAAAGAGCGCCGATATCTTTTCAAAAACGGAGGAGAAATTTAAGCCAATTGAATTTACAGATGGAAAAGAGTCTACTACTACTTCGAAATCATTTATACCAAAAACAACTGAAGAAACACCTTTGCTAGGACTAGAAATGCTCATGGGGAAAAATACAGAACACTCTATGCCAACAACGACTAGCATACCGGAATTGCCACCGTTAGACTTTGATCTACTAGGCAGCTTGACTAAAGATCAAAAAGAATCCAAGGCAACTGTAAACGAAGATCGAAATAAAATAACAATTAAACATCAGAATATTAAAGATTTTCCTCCACTTGATATTGACATTTTGCAAAGATTTCAAGACGTTAAGGAGGCAGAAACAACTCCTTCCCCTCCTACTCCAACACTTCCTTCTCTCCCTTTCTTTGGGGATATGAACACAATGAATACAGGTAGACAACAGCCTTGGGATACCACTCCGAGGGATGAAATATTCAATGCTAGAGATACGAGTTTTTTCACAACTTTACCCCCTTTTACACGTAATGAAGAACCTGAAAAAGCTGGAACGATTTCAAGATCACCTGAACGGACAAACGATCTTCCATTCATTGGACCTACTTCAGAAGCTTCGAAACATTTCGACTTTGAGCCTCATAGTGGCGGAAACATTCGACCACATCCCATACTTTTAAGCCAGACCACAACTCAAAGAACACCCATAACTAAAGAAAAAACAAATAAACCAAATATTTTGGTGATAGACATTGTGAAAAAACCATCGGAAGAAATAGACACCACCACAAGACGAAGTAGTCCTGTTTTCCAAAATGCAAATAATTTAGTAAATACTCCACAGGTTACTCCAACACCACAAAGAGGAACTACTCCAGCTTGGTTGATGTCGACACTTTTGGCAATTAGAGCCCGTCTTAATCAATTGAGAGCTCTGAGAAACAACAGGCAAAACACTGAAAACAGTAATAGTCAGAATCCAGTTATAAATACACCCACTAATCAGAACACAAATCCAGGACAGGTATTTACATTACCATCCCAATTAAATTTGAACAGTCAACGAAACAATGGACAGCTGATCCAAAATCAGCAGCCTCAGCTTCAAAATGGAAATGTTCGCAACCTTAATATACAGCGACCGGGTGCAAATGGGGTTTTATTTCAAGGGAATCCAAACAACTTACCATTTTCAAACAGAGGCATATCTCAGAGTCAACCCCTTGCAAACTTTCGAAACTTAATGTCTCAAAATGCTCAACAGCAAGGGAGAAGACAGTTTCAGATGCCAAATATTCCAAATCGGTCTAACCAACCAAATTTACAAGTCCGACAGCCTGTTTTCCAGCCTTCTGTAAACTTACGACAAACGCAGACACCCGGGATTCAGAATATACAGACGCAACAGAGCGGAGCCACAGAGGCGGAAAGGGAACTCCTCAGAGAACGAGTCCGCCAACGCATTCAACAAGTTCTTAGAACTCAAATTCTTCGTCAACTTCTAGTTCGCCGTTTACAGGCACTTCGAAGTCAAACAAATAATAATGCACAGCCGGCTGCAAATCAGCCTATTAGGCGGATTCCAACATCAACCAACAATATGAATATAATGAGTGCCAACAATGCCATAAATATTATACGTCAAGCCAGACAACGTGCATTAGCGGCATCGCAGCAACAGCAGCAGCTGCAACAACAACAACAACAATGGCCTGGTCAACAGTTTAACAATATTTTCAGAAGATTTTCAAATCGAAATTTACAAAATGTAGGGTTCACGCCTAACTCCTTTGGACGCCAGCAGACGACACAGCCTTTAGATTTTTCGAGACTTTTCCAAAACAACAGAGGGTTAAATTTTAACAATCGTCTTGCTCAGTCAATTCAACGAATGGTGTCAAACGAAACGAATGGAAATAGAATGAGGAGGGATCAAGGCCCTGACTTATCACAACCGCCCTCAGAAAGAGCTCTTCAGACATTAAGAAATTTTAATCTTCAGAGAACTCGTGGTCTTCAACCAGGTACTACTTCTAATGTTAGAAATAATCAAAATCTAAGAGTGGAAAGAAGAGCCATTCCTATTTCAGAAGCTTTTCAACTAACAGAACGATTACGTGCACAAAACAGAGACATTGCACCATTTAGGAACTTTAATTCCAATATTATTCCACAATCTGTAATGGAACGTTTAAGAAATGGTTTACGTAGATTTCAACCAGTGCAAAACGTTCTGCACACACAATTTAATAGACAAAGAATTATAGTTCCAATAAATGGGCAATTGCTGGGCCAAAGAAATAATCTCAATGTTTCTCGAAGGCCAAACCTGGGTCAAACCAGCCCCCCACCTCAATTTAACGGACCCCAAGAGGGCTGGCCGTGGGTGGCAGAAAACAGTGATAAATGATCAAGGTAAACTTCGTCCATCGTTTGTAAATGGGAATTTTGTTTAATTTTCCATTATTTTCTAGGCAAAAAATTTTTTAAAATGTTGGAAATCTGTTTTTCCTATTTCGCATTGTTTTTATAACTGGATTTTTAAACCGGATTTATCAAATTATATTTTTGAATGTAGGATTCCTAAATGAACCGATATTGAGAACAAACAATTTAATAGAAGAAGGATATGGAGATAACGAACAGTATTCAATATCAAAGTCCATAAAACAATACAAAATAGGAGCAGAGCAAACACGACCTCCGAAACATCAGAGGTGGGATCAGGTGCCATGGAGGAGTGAGCATCCCCTGCTGACCGGTCACACCCGCCGTGTACTCCTCGTCATGATCGGTAAATAAGGGAAAAAATCCGTCGTCAGTTAGTATGAAAAACGTCAGACAGCATTTGTCTCAATGATAAATTGTATTTGCTAACTAGGTCATTGTATCGACCATAGAAAAAAAATTCTGAGAATATTTTATGGGTGTTTGAGCATAAAATACATGCGACACTCTCATTAGCAAATTTTACTTGATATTTGCAATTCCAAGGAAATAAATTACATCCTCGACACATTTAAATTTTGAGCTGTTAATTAATGTACATGAATGTCCCGTCAATTTAAATGAAGTCATTTTAGCTGAATTTAATATCCCGGCATCTCAGTAAACGTGGAAAATTCTCTATAATGTACATTGTATGCATTTATATAATAACAGAATCTGATTTTAAGGCATAGATCTGATAGAATAGAACAATCAATTGATTATGTGAAGAGTCTTTTCATTTGTAAAGTTTGAACCAAAGTTAGTCAAAATATATTCAGTCATCCATCAATCAATGACGTTTCATGCTTTTCCTATTTGAATAATATACTATGCATTAGCCAATATAGGTTAAATTTAATTATCTATTACTTTGATTCGAAATCTTAAAACATGAAATGTCAATCAGCGTTTACCACAACAGTGCTGTATTAATTATTTCAATCCTTGTAGGACATAGCTGATCCAATTCTCAATTCAACACTCATAGGTTCTGGGGATTGCCCCAAAAATTTAATTTCTTCAAACATCAGAATTTATTATCATTTTTTCCAGGTTTTTCATGGCAAAATGAACAGCTTTAAATCCTTCACTGTGATTCAAAAAACAGGACAGCTTCAAGGTCCCTCAAGGTGATGATTGCTGCCGTCCAAGAATACAGTTATACAAGTCTCTCAAGTTGTCACTTCATGATGAAATCCATAGTTACTGCAATAGGATATAAAAAGGAAAAGTTTAACGAAAATGGACAGAAAAGTTCCTTGGTGTTTTGAAGCTCTCTCTAGGCCCAGGTCATGTCCCGGTTTGCCTAGGCCAAAGTTCCCCCAAGTATTTTAAGTCCAGGGGAATTTAAATTTTTTGACGGATTTCTGCTTTATTTAAAAAAGCAGAATTCTGCAATTTCGATGAGTGCTTAAACAGCGAAATAGAAAATGATATGTTTGTGTAGTGAGAGGAGAATGCGTTTTGTTTTATTTTAGTTCAATTTGTTATCTACTTAATACATTGACACTTTTTAGGAACATGTACTTGTATGCATGACACGTATTTACATGTAAGTGAGACAAAAAGGACAATGTTGTCACTGTAAATATTAATGTTCTAATTTATATTTTGATGTAATTTTTCTGTTTTCAATTGATTAAAAGAAAATATACACATGTATCCCTCTTGTAATTACTTCTGCATGGAACCTTTAACGTTTTCCGTCATCTGGTTAATTCTCTCGACTTATTGAAATTAAGCCGGTATAAAGGAACAAATCTGTACCCGAGACAAAGAATCTCCCAGTCAGCACACCCAAATACAGGATGTTGCCAATGTCCTTGGTTTATAGACATTTATCATGTTGACAAAGTTGTCTTTCTTTTCGCCCATCGCCATGTTTATCGATGATTCTAATACAAAATTGATGCAAGGTCAACACAATTTTTTTGGCTAATTCAATTCATTAGTAGCTAATTAATATTAGAAATAATTCCTTGTTCACTTTTTTTTTGTTAGATTTTATTAATTAGAAAGTTATACTAAATCGTAAAGACGGTACACGTAAAGCCCAGCAACTTCACATAATCTCATATTATTATATAATATTGTTTCTCAGTACAAATTAAAATAGTAAAGAAGAAAAAAAAATGTATTTATCGCCAAATTTTTTTTTTATATAGAAATAATCAGTAAACTGTAGGTTTTTTTTTTACCTTTCTTCTTTGCCTTCTTTATAGGCGCAGATAGAATTTAAAGTACACTATAACAGGATAAATATATCTAGAAATGCTCAAAAAATCGTCCAAAAAATCATATACGTAATAATTATTATTACGTATGATTTTTTGGAAATAAAAATTACACGCTGGATCAAGTCCATATGATGTTTTTGTACTAAGTTGAGAAAATGATTTGTAAATTGGTAAAAACTCAAACAACCGTCGAAAAAATTACTTTGTTGACCTCGGACTTTAAAGAAATAAGGAAAGGAAATATCAAAAACCGTTGAAAAAATTTGTAGACCTCGGATTTCCTATTATAAATTCAAAAAGATTAAAAACAGCTAATTTGATACATGTATAGATACATGTACATTTTGAAAAAGAGAATGTGGTTCGTGTCATTTTCAGGAAGAAATTTCATCAATTACATGTTCCCGAGAAAATATGTTATTGCTGGTATATATTATTGTTATGTATACTAGCATTTCTTCAATTTTACATCTATCGAATCTAGAAACTAAATAACTTCATCCTTATCGAGAACAAATGTAAAAAGACAATAACATGGCATTTTTTTGTGTATCACCAATAAAACAATGGAAAATTTCAAGAAAATATATATATTTAGTTGAGAAAATGTAATAATTGTTACTTTCCATTTTTAAATTACCCATGAAAGAACTTATATCTATTCTCTTGAGTCGATACTTAAGATTCTATTGTCTTTTCGATTTTATTTTAAAAACGCAGTGGCTTCTGATGAAATCGTTCTTTTCTCAATAGCTTTTCAAACTACGAATGATTGAAACTTTATCAAATTTAATGTTCAATATTGAAAGCAATAGGGAAATAAATTCTGTCGTCTTCGTTTTCTTGGGATCTCAAAATATTGTGTATTATTTAAAGAAGAACTTTTAATTTCTAACAAAGGAATTTCAATTAAATATACTCAGTTCATTATGACCTTCTTTTAGCAATAAAAAGTAAAGACGCAAGTTTAATTTCATGAAAGAAAATATTTCTTTTTCGAATTTACGATGTACGTATAAACATAACTTCTGAATTTTAAAATTGTGAAAAAGTGATGAAATTTAACAAATGTGAACGAAATCTATATCACTGTAAAATTGTAAATTTAGTTGAATGCAAAATATAGATATTTTAATGAAGTTTGTGCATCTTAAGTTATAAGCTTTGTTCCAGATGACCATTGCCTCAACCATCTAGTAATTCTTGCTGGGATGTTTCATTAATCATTATCATCAGGAGCTCTATTTAAGTTAAATTCCAGTTAACTCTAACTTATTTTTGATAATATCTAAATTTTTGGCAATATGAGATGTTTTTATGAACAATCAATTAAAATTTGATCGTGCAAAAATGAACCATAATAAGAAGGGATTCTGGTGGAAACCTCTGATGTTTTGGAGGTCCGTGTTTACTCTGCTCCTGTTTTGTATTGTTTTACGGACTTTTGATCTTGAATACTGTTCGTTATCTGCATACATGTATGTTTCATTTCATTAAAATTGTGATTTATTTTGACTCTTTTAAAGTTAAAACTCATACTATGCTTATATCTTAAATTAAATGTATTTTCTGTAAAGGACGGTAGATCCAATCTAGCAAAAATACCTCCATTCCAAAAATGAATCACAAAACTACTGGTCCCTTACCCCTCCAAAAAAAACTATCTATTTCTTAGCCATATTTACAAATATATATCTAGATAGTCTTTATCCAAAATTCCCATAAGGATAAATACATGTGATAATATATAGACACTATATCTCAGGCATCAGCAAGATGCATGGTAAATTTACATCTACGGGAAAATTCTCTCACAATAAAATTGTTGAGAAAAATCAGTTTTCACCCAAATTAAATCCAGATAAATAGTTGGTCTATTGTATATTTGTCAACATAGAAGAGAAGTTTCCTGGGGACGATGTGGTTGAGTTTTATTCCTGTGTTTTTAAAGTGTTGTTATCTCTCGTGCATTGTAAAAGATATTTTCAAGAAAATAATTCATCAAATTTTCACTCTAATAAGAGAGTACGACCTAGCCTTGATGCTTATTGAATTTAAGTTTTTGATTGCTCATTCCAAATTACTTTAATTGCAACTTAATCGGTGGTTTTACGACTCATTTCGGCTTCATTTCTCTTTCCAGAACTTATTCAAAGCAAATCATATCAACCAAATACACTACTTAAGTGTTGATTACTTTCAACAAAGCGTAATTCAGATAGTCGACCTTCTTAATGTATCACACCTTCGAGAATTTTTGAGCTTCAAAAGCTGTCGTCTGCATCTAGACTTATTTCCGTCGGGAGAGCACCTAGCGCAGCTGGAAACGGCGCAAATTCTATTAACATTTCACGGGAGTTGCAGCACCATATGTTACGACGTAGTCCCGGCAATACGGTTGTCGCAAAATTTCCATTGGATGTTTCGACTCGAGGAAAATTGTTTGTAATTCGATTTACAAACGAATCTTTTTCTATTATGATCAAAGTCAGCGATGCCATAGTAGCATTAAAGCTCTTTATTGTTGACGAGAGCGAGAACGAGATTTCATCTTCAGCGCCGAGGTTTCAGATCGGTAGTGTGATGTATGAGTGGGGAGTGTCAATGCTATTTATTCTGAAGACCCAAGATAGAATTATAGCAACTTTTAACCCTTTACCGACTCTAATCAACATCGGGCCACACTTTGCGACTTCCCTAATCCACCATGATTAATTTATTTACTTCTTGTATTGACGTTTCTTTGATTATGTATATTTCCCAAAAAATGCAATATTTCAATGAATAAATCCAAGAGTTAGATATTTTAAGATCTGTTTTCAACTAGAAATACATGTCGTGCAAAAAAAAAAAATACTTTTTTGAGAGTAGTCATATATGTACGTCCAGGGACCTGATACGTCCGACAATATTTGATTTACCATTTAAATATAAAAATAATAATAAGTACAAATATACTTCATTAAATGAATTATTAACAGATCTGGCAAGTAAGATAAAAGACCTTTACCTCAAATTATTGCTAAGAAATTAGAAGAGAATATTTTCCATTTAAAGTTAGGATTATCCTAACTTCTCTGACCCATTCTCAATATCAAATATTGATTGATTGCATGCATGATGTTTAGGTCTCATTCGAGAATGTTTCGTTCATAGAGACGTCAACGTATGCCAGTGAAGGGATTCAAATTTAGACCTACACTCAGCACTCGGGGGCATTAATAAGTGGGTTCCTTCAATTACCATACCAACGCTTACTGTGACATGTTTTTAAGGTTTTGCAAAAGGTCAAGATGTCCAAAAATTTATTTTTACAATAGCTCCAAAACTATGTCAGGTATTAAGCTAAAAAAAGTTACAGTGTATAAATATATCAGTGATTAACAGATAGAAAGTATCACTTAGAACCAAATTTTTTTTTTTAATTTTTTTTGAGAAAAAATATATCTCAAAATTTGCATATTTTAAGAAAGCGCACCTGCTTAAGGACGGATGATACAAACAAAAAATGGATGCCTGGATTGGTATATATTTTTTGGCCTAATTTCATTGAAAATGATGCAAATAATAAATTTCTAGAATATAAAGAAATTGTAAACCTTCTATGGTGTTCAAACTGCTGCCTCTCTGAAACCATCCTTATTAATCTATACCAATATTTTTCACTTCAAATCCCATTTTTGTGAAAATTTGAATAAAAAATTAAAATCTACGTGGTGAAACTTGTTCATTTTACTCATTAAAACATGACTCAAGATGTTATTTTCAAATTTTTTGACAAAAGTTTATTTGTATCATCTGTCCTTAATTCTGTATTTTTAGTGAAAACATCATTTCAGAAATAATATATATTTATCAATGAAGGGTAATTTGGACGTGAATGGTCTCTGAAAGGCTTTTATTGAAAGCATGACATGTATAAAGACAAGACCCTTTTAAAATCCGCCATTTGCAATGTACTTTCGGTTTCGAATTTTAACATTTAGAAAAAATAAACAGGGGAAAAAATTTCCAGAGGCTATGGATGTCCAACTTACCCTTCATTGATAAACATATATTGTTTCTGCAATGATGGATTTCACTAAAAGTACGAAATTAATCAGGTGTATTTTTCAAACGAATTTTTCTCGAAAAATATTTTTAAGGATTTGTTATCAAGTGATACTTTCTATCTGTTAATCAATGATATATTTATAAACTAAACTGTAAAAGTTTTTTTAACTTTATAAACGATATAGTTTTAAAGCTTAGTTGTAAAAATAAAATTTTGGACATGTTGACATTTGGCAAAACCTTAAGGACCCGGGATTCGCACGTTTTGGCGAAGGAATAGGCAATACCTATAGTTACGTTTAAGGATTGAGGTGGCACAACGAATGAGAATTGAACCCGGACCGCCTGATCCGGAGGCTTGTGCCTATCA